GGGGTATAGTGCAATGGTAGAATAGCGAACTTCAAATTCGCCGATTCATGTTCGATTCGTGTGCCCTTGTTTACTCGCCCCTGTCAATGGAGCGGGGCGCTAAGGAGGTAAATTTAACCAAGTATTGATAGGAATGTGGTGTCAATGGTAGCATGCAGATCTCCAAAGTCTCGCGGAGCTTGTTCGAATCAAGCCATTCCTGTGAAGTTATGTCTGTCTCTTATATTAGCCTCCTTTAATTTACAAGTAATGGGACTTGAACCCATACAACGTATCGTCATGGTTGCTTAAGAACCACCTGTCTACCAGTTCCAGCATACTTGCTGTTTATCGCCCTTAAATTCGCTGCCTTCGGCGAATTGACAGTCATTAAAGGAAAAGCAAAAGTTATAACTTCCTCTTATATGTTGTTTTAGCTACGTTTTCGCGTTTTTTGGGTCATTTTTCGGAGGCGCACGGCGACGCCTTGCACAGGTGCGGCGAGCGTGAGGAACTGTGAACGGGGGAGGAGGGAGGAGGAGGGGGAGGGGGGGGAGATGAGAAGTCACGAAGGGCTGGAGGGACGAGGGGGAGGCTGAGCGCACCTCGGCGTCCGCCTCTGGTGCCTCCATGCTGACTGGCTGCACCGCTCGAGTCGAGGGCGAGAGCGACGGGCGAGATGAGGAGGTTGAGCGAGTCCGCCGAGACGAGTCGACGACGACGACGACGGCAACAGCGTCGTACGCTTCTCAATCGCTGTGCGAGTGCTCGAGAAAGACATCCAAGATAGCTCTGGCGTGGCACTGCGACGCTACGGACTTTCGGGTCGACTCGCTGCCTCGACCTCCTCCTCCTCCTCCTCCTCGACGCGCTCCCACACGCTGCTCGTCTGCTCCACCTGCACGGCCCTCGCTCGCTGCTCGACCGGCACCCCGCTCACTTGCGCGCCTTGCGCCGCCCCTTGGCGCCCTCGCTCTCGTCGCCGCTCGTCCCGCTCGTCGCACCCGCAGCGCGCGCCTTGCGCGTGCGCAGGTGGTGCTCGGGGACCCACTCGTCGTCGACCTTGGTGCGCGTGCCGTCCGTGTTGTCGACGATCGTCGACGACTTGGCCGTGACGGCCTGCGGGCGACGCGCGCCGCCACCCGACGACTTGGCCGGGGCGGGTGCGACGACGGGCGCGAGGTACGACGTGTAGAGGAGGTACGCGAGGCCGGAGAAGGCCGAGCCGAGGAGGACGTAGAGGAACAAGCTGCGGGCGGGAGAGAGAGCGTCAGTGATCAGGGCAGGAACCCGGGCGCAGAAAAGGACGAGGAGAAGGGACGAGGAGAGGAAGACGAGGCGGAGGGGACGCACAGCTCGAGGTCGAACCAGGAACCCTTGGGCTCGACGACGGTCACGGTCGAGTCGTAGCCGAGGACCGTGTGCTGGCGGCGCGTGCTGTCGATAAAGTCGATCCAGACGCGCAGGCCGACGTCGCCCTGCTTGTTCTCGCTGAAGAACTTGTACGGAAGCAGGGGCGACTTCTGGCCGGGGCCGACGGGGAGGCCGAGCGGCATGACCGTCGTCTGCGGGCGGGCACAAAGATCAGTCCCCCGTCGAGGAGCGAGGAGGAGCAAGGCGAGGACGCACGTTGCGCAGCGCCCTCTCGCGGCCGTGAGCCTCGCGGAACTGGCCGCGGATGCGGGTCACGGTGACGGGCTCGCTGCCGTGGTTGTGGACGCGAACGTGGAGGAGGTTGGTCGACACGCCGTTGTGGACGGTGCCGAACGGGTTCGAGTCGGGGAACTTGATCAAGGCCTCGACGTCGGACGAGGGGACGGCCGCGCCGAGGGCGACGGCGACAAGGGAGAGAGGTGCTGCGCAGGAGGCAAGCACATGCGAGCGAGGACGCAGGTCGAGGTGAGGTGGGGGAGGAGCAGGGGAGGAGGGGGGGAAGAAGTCAGCGAGGACCGCGTGGATGGGCGTGGGACAGACGCGGACTCACCGAGCAGAGTACTGAAGCGCATCTTGTGGTGGTAGATCGGCCGCTCGAGCTGCTCGAGGGACTGGAGGTGACGAGACCAAGAGTGGCTCATCGCTTGGTCGGTCGTCGCACCTTTCGTCCACCCGACCTCACCACGACCACCGGACCAAGACGAGCCGGTTCAGCACTCGCCAACACCGACACCCCGACCGCACCACCGCGCATCAACTCGGGGGCCGCCTCGTCGTCCATCGCCTCGTCGCCGCCTCGCCGCTCATCTCGCAGGGTCCGCATGGCCATGGCCGACTCGAGCGACCTCAAGGCGGCGCCAAAGAAGCGCGGCCGCAAACAAGACGACTCGCTCCCGCCATCGGTGCGTCCCGCCCCTCGCCCCTACCCTTGCCCACCGAGCTGACTCTTCCCCTCACCCTGCAGCGCTCTCGCGACATCCAGCGCGCCTTCCGCGCCCGCCGTGCCGCCCTCCTGTCCAACCTCGAAGCTCGAGTCGCCTTCCTCGAAGCCGAGAACGCCGCTCTGCGCGCCCACGCCGGCCTCGCGCACGATGGCCCGCCGCTCTCGGGCCCCGAACCGCAGCTCACGGCCGTCGAGAGCGCGACGGGCGAAATCGAGGTCCCCGGCGGGCCTGGGACGCTCGGCAACGGTGCGTCGACCGGGCAAGATACGCCGACCGCGATGGCGGCCGCGGTACCGGCGGGCTCGGCGCGCGGAGACGGCCCGCCGTCCCGCAAGCGCACGGCGTCGGCCCACGACCTCGACCGCGACATGCACGACGCGTCGACCCGTCGCAGCTCGGCCGCCTCGTCGAGCACTCGCCGCCGCGTGTCATCGCCGCCGCGAGCGTGGGCCGGCTCGAGTGCGGCCGACCCGCAGGTCGACGCGGCCGCCGAGGTGCTCCTCCTCGGCTTGAGCGGCGGCAACGGCGGCGGCACCGGCCTCACGCCGCCCGTCGACGCGACGAGCGCGGCGCGGCGCGACCTGAGCGGGCGCGAGGCGGCAGCAGGAGGGTACCCGCCGCAGGGCGCGTACGGCCAGCCGCACGTTCCGCCGCCGGGCTCGTCGCAGCACTCGACGCCGATGCAGCCCAACGGACACGGCTACGCCTTCGTCAACGGCCACTCGCACGCCCAGGGCCAATGGCAGTACCCGCCGCCGCCGCCGCACATGCCGTCCTTCCCTCAGCAGCACCCGTTCCAGCACTCGCCGCACCCGCACCTCCCACAGCCGCCCTTCCCTGCCCATCCTTCGCCCCTCACGCACTCGCAGCAGTGGCCGCCGCCGACGTCGTCCCCCTCGCTCCAGCAAGGTCCGCCGCAACAGCAGCACGGCTTCCCTCCCCCTCCTGCCGACCTGGCCCAGGCGCACTACCCTCCTCTTCCTCAGCTCCCGCCGGCACCCCACTATCCAGCACATCTTCAGCACGCCTCGTCCTTCCTCTCTGCGACCGCGCCCTCGCCCTCGGCCCCGCATCCGGCCGTCCACCGCGACCAAGCCGCCTCGTCGCCGTTCACGCCGATCGAGGCCCTCCTCCACACGCTCCAGGCGCAGCCGCTCCCGGCCTCGATCCAGCACGCGACCCGCGACGAGCAGCAGCAGCAGCAGCACTCGCTCCACTCGCTCCACGGGTACCCGTACGACGAGCACGGCTTCCCCGTTGTGCCGCCCTGGATCGGCACGGCTCCGCCTCGACCTGCTTCTGCGGCGTCGTCGCCGCCGACGAGTGCGCCCGAGCAGCGCGGCCGTGCGCCTTTACCCGGCGTCGTCAACGAGATCAAGCCGCCCGGCGACGGCGCCGGCGACGAGGACGACCTGTCGCTCGAGGCGCAGCAGCGCGCGTTCCTCGTGCGGGCGTGCGGCGCCCCTCCTCCGCTCCAGGGCGCGCGAGCGGCGAGCGCTCGAGCGCGAGGGGCGCGCCTGCGCAAGTGGCACGCGTTCTGCGAGGTCGTCCGGCAGGGCGTCCTCGAGGCCGAGCGCGAGGGGAGGGTCGGGGCGCTGCCGGGTCCGCCGGCGCCGGTGGTCGGGGCGAGGGACGGCGAGCGTGCGACACGGTCTCGAGGCGGGAGCGTCAAGCAGGAGCGGAGCGAGGGAGACGGGCAGAAGGCGAGGGCGAGGGGCAGCGCGAGCGAGGGTTGCTGCGAGGGCGGCAAGGTGCAGTGCGCCGCGCCCGTCTCGAGCGAGCGGGACCATCCTCGACCCTCGCCAGCACCTGCACTCGCTGCCGCCGTGGCGGACGCCGCAGTGTCGGCCGTCGAGGAGTGCTGCGGCGGCCTCATCGACTGCTCGGGCCCCCTCTTCGACGACACGCCCTCGTACCCGTCCGCCACTTTCGCCGCCACCGCCACCGCCTCTGCCTCGTCGACCGACCGCGACGCCGCATCGGCCGGCGCCGTCGTCGAGCCCGGCACGGACGCCGAGGGCGCCGTCGACTCGGACGCCGCCGCCGCCGCCGCCGCCGCAGCGGCAGCCGCCTACGACGACGCGCCGAGGTGGCCGACGCCCGCGCCGTCTTACATGCCCCTGTCCGAGGCGTTCGCGCTCCTCGAGCCGTACATGGCCGACCCGTGCCCGCCCTCGTCCCCTCCTCGTCGCCCCTCGCCCTCGTCCCTCTCGACCTCGCCCACCTCGCCTTCTTCCGCCGGCGCCGCCGACGTCGACGCCTCCTCGGCGTGGGGCGTCGCGCCCGGCAAGCTCGCGACCATGCTCTGGGACACGTACCCGTCGTGGACCGCGCCGCCCGGGCTCGCGCTCCCCGACGGCGCCGGGCGCGACCCGCCGCACTTTGCGATCGCGCCCGCGCCCGCTCCACTCGCGTTGAGCGAGGGCGGCGCAGGGGAGCGTGCCGAGCGAGAGGGAGAAGGACCAGGCGGCGCGAGGGCGGCGAGGTGCGACGCGCTGTACGTGTGGCGGTGGTGCGTCGAGATGAGCGCGCGCGGGCTCGCCGTGCGGGACCTCGTCGTGCGCGGCGTGTGCGGCGAGGACGAGGCCAAGCGGCGCGTGTTCCAGGGGATCGAGGGCCTGAGTGCTGAGGGCGGCGAGGGGTGCGAGAAGCGCGAGGGGGACGAGGAGCAAGGGCGAGCGACGGGGAGCAAGTGCGGGAGACGGTGCTGAGGAGTGCAGGCGTGCAATGCGGTTGCCGAACAGCTTGCCTCTCGCGAGAGCGGCGAGGAAGGCACCTCGAGAGCATCTTCGCGAGCCAGCTCGAGGAGGAAGCGCTCCTTTCTTCGCCCTCGGCGACGCAGCAGAAGCGCTCGAGCGCGCCAACAAGAATCGTCACGAGCAGCAAGCAGAACCCGAGCGCCGACTGCCGCACCGCTCCAGCAGAGAAGCTCGCAGCCCAAGAAAGCTCTCGCACGAGCCTCTCTGCCAGCTCTCGCTCGCTGCGTCGCCGAGTAGAACCCTGCACGACGCGCACCTCGGCGTCTGTTGCCCGTTGCACCCGCTCCACGCCCGCTCGCTCGCGCGTCGAGCTCAGTACGGCGCGCCCCTGGCCCTGCCCGGGTTGACAAAGTCGCTCCTAGTCCTGCCCGCGCTGCTCTCGCCCTGGGGCTGCTGTTCCTCGTCGCCCGCCTCGCCCGCCTCGGCGTCCTCCCACTGCGCGTCACCGTCGCCATCGCCGTCGTCGTCGGCCTCGGCGGCCTGGAGCGCGGCGAGGCCCGGGCCGGCGAGCGAGCCGTCGGCGGCCGCGTAGACCATGCTCGAGGGGTCGAGGCCCATGGCGGCGAACATGGCGCCCGGGCCGTCGGTGTCGGCGGACTGGGACTGGGATTGGGACAGGATCGAGGGGTCGGAGGTGGACGAGGAGGGCTGGAGCGAGGCGCAGAGGGACAGGGCGGCAAAGATGGCGTCGACTGGGTGCGGTGGAGAGGCAGACGTGTCAGCTCAAGGACATCGTTTCGCCACCTTCGCCGAGCTGCGTCACAAGCGCAGACGAGCGAGGGTAGGCGGCAGAGTCGAAGAGAGCCGAGTGGGACGCACCGGCTTGCTCGCTCTCGGGCGTGATCCACATCTCCCTCGTTCCCGCGCCATCGTCGTCGTCCTCCATTTGTGCGCTCTCCTCGAACTGGCAGTAGACGCAGGGCCCGCCGTGGGCGTCGGGGTTGCCGTTGGGGGCGGCGGCCGAGGTCGAGGCGGAGGGAGGGGCGGGCTGGCGCGAGATGGCGTGGAGGGTGAGGTGAGGGTAGGGGAGCGTGATGCCGGACGAGGTCGAGGGCGAGTAGAAGGACACGGCTCTGCACAGGGTAGACCGGGTGAGTGTGGGAGAGATGAGGGAAGGGAGGAGGGGGGCGCACTCTTCGGTGACAAAGAGCTGGCCGTCGACGATGTCGTCGCCTGTGAAGCTTTCAAAGGGCGGGTCGACCCTGATGCGCACTCCTCGTGGCTCGTGGTGGCGGGTGAGGGGCGGGATGCCCTCGAAGGTGGACGGGGTCTCGGCGGAGATGGCCGACGAGCTCGTCGCGAAGAGAGGGCGGCCGGGGGGAGCGCTGAGGAGGGTGACGGGCATGTGGGAGAACTGCTTGGCCAACCTGAAATGCAGCTTCGAGTCAGAGAGGACGAGCCTGGTGGTAACGAGAGCGAGCAGACCTTCATCGTCTCTTCCCCTCAACCTCGCCCTCGCCAGCTCACGCGCCGCCGTCCTTGCGTCTGTGTGCACTCGCATCTGCTGTCGAGCTCTGCCGCCACCCTGGCCTCGCTACCCGCCCTCGCTCGCTCTCGTCGCCGTCCTTCTCGCCCTCGCCCCCCATATCACCGCACCGCACTCACCCGCGAGCCCGCACCGCCACCAGGACCCGCCGTGTTTCGCTGCTACCTCAGCAGTACCGCCGGCAGACCTCGCCGCCGCTCCCTCGCCGATCGAGAGCGTGTGCCAGCGCCGCTCTCCTCGTCCCCCTCCCGCTCCGGCTCTCCGCCGCAACTTTCGCTCGCCCACGAGTCTCGACGAGCCTCGACGAGCCTCTGCACCCGCTGCATGCAGCGGCGACGTCTTGCAGCAGGGATGACCGTGCTGCGCACAAGCTGCGAGGCCCGCTCCTGCCTCGCGCTCCTCGCGCTCCTCGCCCGGCCCTCGACGCTGTCCTCGCTGCACGCGCCCCGCGGGCCGGACCTTGCTGGCGTCGTGCTCAGAAGCCTCGCTACGTTCTGTGTGCGACTGCGCGTCGCGGCAGAGGGCCCTTGGACCTCTCTCGCTCGTGCAACGGGCTCGCGCGTCGCTCGCCCTCTCGCCTCCTGCTTCTCTCGCTCTCTCTGCGGCTTCTCGCAGCCCGAACTGCGACCAAAACGCACGTCGAACCCGTCTGCGTCCGTGTCCTTCGAGTCGCTGAGGACCGTCGAGCAGAGCAAGCAGGAGGCGACGACGCCGGGCTCGACTGGGTCGCGTTTTTGCGGTCGAGCGTGAGAGTACACGGCACGAGCGACTGTGCCTTGCAAAGAGCAGAGAGTGCGAGAGTCCGGCCGGCCAAAACAAAAGGTGAGCCGGCGCCATGGCCGAGCGAGCGCGCCCCACGAGGAGGAGAGCGACTCTCTGTTCCTCTCCACCGACCCGCCATGGCAACCTCGACGAGCTCGAGAGCGACGCCGTTCAACCCGCTCGACCACAGCCACCGGCGGTGGAACCCGCTCAAGCGCGAGTGGGTCCTGTGCAGCCGTGCGTCCCTCTCTTTGGCTCGTCTCGAGGCGCGGGTCACCCGGAGGCAGCGGTGCGAGCCAGGGTTGGCGTGGGCGAGCAGGTGGGCAGGGGTGTGAGCATCATGAGCGCATAGCGAGCTGGTGCGCGCAGCTGGGCAGGGCGGTAGGCGGGCGCGAGGGACATCTCCCGGGAGGAGAGGGGGTTTCGGCGATGAGGGCTCTCGCTCGCGGCGGCCTGTGGAGCGGCGGGCGCGGCCCAAGGGCATGCAGAAGGGTCCGGGCAGCGGCTATGTCAGGCCCCTCGCGCTCCTGCGAGGCGCCGTCGCTCCTCGCCGTCCCGGCGGGCGGCGGCAGGCCGGTCCGCCTCGCGCTTTTGCCTCGTCGTCCCCCATTTCGCCTCGAGCAGCTCTCTCAGCCGGCCACAGGACACTCGCACTGATACTCTTTCCCCCCGTCGCAGCGCACCGCACCAAGCGCCCTTGGCAGGGCGCCGTGGAGCCTCCCCAGCTCGCGTCCCTCCCCGCCTACGACCCCAAGTGCTACCTGTGCCCGGGCAACGAGCGCGCCGGCGGGGCCCTCACGGCCAACTACGACGGCACCTTTGTCTTCGAGAACGACTTTGCCGCCCTCCTCCCCGACGAGGTCGCGCCGCCGCCGGCCGCCCACGACGACGCCGCCGTCGCGAGCCTGTTTCGCACCGAGAACGCCCGCGGCAAGTGCTACGTCATCTGCTTGCGCCGAGGCACGACCTC